CTGCCGTGCCCGACCTCACTGACTGCCCTCCGTCTGCCGTGCCTGACCTCACTGACTGCCCTCTGCCTGCTGTGCGCCAACCTCACTGACTGCCCTCTGTCTGCCATGCCCGACCTCACTGACTGCCCTCTGTCTGCCGTGCCCCAGCTCACTGACTGCCCTCTGCCTGCTGTGCGCCATCCTCACTGACTGCCCTCTGTAGGTGGCATGGCTGCTGCCACTGTGCCCACTTTTCTTCATCCTGCGTGACTTCAAAGCTGTCGTGGAGGGGGCTGGCGCTGGCGTGGGCTGTGTGTTGCCCAGTGTCCGGCACCCCCAGGATCGTGAGGGTTGCTGAGGAGCTCTGTGTCGCTGCCCTGTCTCCCCAGGGACCCCCGTTCTGTTAGAAAGCATCTGAGCAGTCCCCATCGTGGTCATCTGGTAAACCAGTGTTTCCCAACGCTGGCCCTGAACCTGGCTGTGGGGCGGCGGATAGGTCCAGGGGGCTGCCTGCACTGTATACCTGGATCATGGACCTGCCATGCACATTTCACTGCCAGAGGGCAGAGCATTTTTTTATCTTTTTCTTAGAAAGGAAGTTGGCCAAATAAGTTGGAGAACCTGTGTTTTGGGTCACCCTCCTCTGTACCCTCAGCATCTCCATCCATTCCGCTTCGTCTTTTTTGTCCACGAGCTTCATTCTCAGCCTTGGAATTCCTCTCAGTCCCGGAACTCGTCTCCGCTCATTCCTTTGTGCCCCCAAGCCAGCGGCCACAGAGCCGGGCACACTTGTCAGCCCCTTGACTGGGCAGCCAGGGTGTGGCCTGATGGCCCTGCCCAGCCCCTTGCTCTGGAGTGTCTCGGGTGTGATTCTACCTCCCCTGCCTCAGAGGTCCACTTCGCCACACAATGCCGTCACTGTGCAGTGCCGGCTGCAGGGTCCCTCCTAGCTCAGTCAGAGGGGACTGGCTGGCTGCACCAAGCCAGCCTCATTCCCCTGACACTTGGTTTAAGCACACTGGGGTACGTATGGTTGTTGAAAGAAGCCCTATGCTGCTTTTTTTAATTCATTTTTATTTTTCAGTTTAAAAACTGTACCCCAGTTCATGTCTTCCATGTAATGAAAGTTTTCATTTCCAAAAGATGCTGTATGACCGACTGCCTGCCTCCGAGTGTCAGTCTCGGTCTTAGGCAGGCAACAGGGGAGGGGTTTGGCCTGTGGTGGTGCTGATGGACCATCAGGAAGGAGGCCATGCTCGGTCCGGGCTGGGCCATGAGCCGGGGGGTTTGTATAAAGTGTGCTTGTCGGGGGTGGAGGGTCGGGATAACACCACGTTACTGAACGGTCTCTGCTCTCTTTGCAGAGCTGGTTGATCAGACTGAGTCGGAAGGCCCGGTGATCCAAGGTACGTGGAACGAACAGGGCGGTGGCAGAAGCAGCTCTGTGGCCGCGGGCCGTTTGTGTCCTCACGAGTTCATGTTGGGCAGCGCTCAGGAGGGTCAGGGATGGTGGTGCCCACATGCTCAGCCTTGGCTTCTGGAAGCCTGGCTGACCTCAAGCCCTGGGTCCTGCCTGGGCAACTCAGGATGCAGACACACACCCTTTGAGTCCACGATCAGGGGTCTGTCGTGATGGCAAGTCCCCGGGGCTGATTCGGGAGAATGAGGTGCTGGCGGAGGACGGGTCGGCGTCCCGGCCGGGGTCCTTATGCCGCTGTGCACCCAAGTGACCAATCCCGAATCGTGCACAGGCTTTGCAGAGGATGCTGAGGTTTCCACAGCTGGCCCGCTGAGCCCCCCCGGTTCCTCCTCCTCTCAGCCAGGCAAAGTGGCGAGAGGCTTTGTTAAAGGGGACCCCACAGGGAAGCAAGCCGCAGGCAACAAGGAGGGCGCCTCCTGCTTCCTGGCAGAGCTGGGCTACTGTGGGACACAACTCCACAAAGTGCACTGGTTGGTCGGCATCCTGGCATATCTAATCCCGTGGAGCTGCCGGCCTATTAGCTCACCCTCCTCTGGGACCCCGTCTCTGTAGTCGGGAGGAGGGGTCTGCTGTCACCCCTCCTGCGCCTCTTGAACCCCTTGGAAGCACCCTTTGAACACCTGTAACTTCCCCATGTGTTTCTCTGCAGAACCAGCTGAGCCCAGCCAGGTGGAGGTTCCCACCACAGAAGGTAAGGGATACTCCTGTCTGTCTGTCTGAATCTGGGGTTCCCTAAAGCTTTCATCAGGACAAGGGGGTGATTGTGTTCTCCCTGGTCGACCTGGAGCTGGGTGGTTCTCTTGTGCCTGGGGAAAGGGGGACCCTGTGGTTGACACCACAGGGCTTGGAAAAGTTCATGGAAAAGTAGAATCGGAAGGTGATGTTTTCCAGATTTTTTTTTATGCCCCTGGTGGGGACACGCTGTGTTCAGCCTTGATCACCCCAGGTGCTTTGACACCTGTTTCCTCGGTGACTGGTGGTGCACTGCAGAGCAGCTTAGTGTCCTTGAAATACAGACAGACAGATCCAGGGAGCAGAAGCTCCTCTGAAAACGCGGGTCCTGGAGAAATAGTGCCCTCTCCCGGCAGCGCTGCCCTTAGCCTTCTGCGCAATGGGACGGGAGTCACTGCGGGGCCCGGGCTGGGTGCGATGGTCATTAATCAGTCCCTTCTGCCCCTCCCTGTAGAAATAAAGGACACTGATGGGAGCTCTCAGATTAAGCAGGAGCCAGACCCGACGTGGTAGACCCCTCCTCCTAAGGTAATTCTGCATCTGCCCTCACCTGCGCAGTCAGACGTGATGTTAACAGGGGAGTCCCTGCTCCCACCCACCCCTTCAGGGCCCAGTGTGGGCCACCCCAGCCAGTCAGCGTGGGCCCTGGGATGAGTGCTCACCGTCGGAGGGAGTGGGTCTCCTTTCCGTCCTGGTAAACCTTCTCCTCAGTGACCTTGCCCCCCCCCC